CCCGGCCCGCGGGCTCCCGGGATGCTGGTGCCCGGGGATGCTGGCGCGCAGGCTCCGGACCAGCGCGGACTCCGGCTCCAGGACGGAAATCTCGCCTCTGCGAGAGAACCCTCGCTGAGCCCGGAAGTTTCACTCAACCCCAGAGCTAAATGAGATGATCCTTAAAACATTTGCCCGACTTAATCGCTTTGCTCCTCCATAACGGCCTCTCAGAAAACTTAAGAACTTGCTGATGCCTAATTAAAACAACCCCAGATCCGCCTCACGCACCTATAGCTGCCTCTCCATCAAACCCAAGCCTGCGCCAGGGGATAAAAGGTGAAATCCCGATGGGTGCAACTGTTTTTCAGCTATTTTAAATACGCAGAAATACACTACGCTCCAGAAAGCTACATCTTGACCATTTTTATTTTGCTTTTCTTAGATCTCCTTAAAATAGTTAAGTACTTCCATCTCAAAATTTGAGGGGGGAAATCACTTTAGTGTTAAATTTACAGTTAAATAGATATCTTTTGAACGTGCAAATACGTTCGACAAGATGCATTAAAATACTAGGTTAATAATAGCATGTGCATCATTTTTTAACTGAAAGTTTAATCTTTAAAATGTGCTTTATGTAGAATAACTAATTATAAACCAATATATGCTCAGTGGATAAACTTTTCAAAAGTTGTACAAACATAAAATAACAGTTCACTCTACTTCCTCCACTCCTTTAACCACAGTTAACACTTTAATGTGTTCTTCTGTTTTAATACATGTAATAAATGCACATGGATTTTGTATCGAGCATATTTTGAATGATGACTCATTAAAATATAATCTCCAAATAGGCCACTGATAATAAAAATTAAAGAGTATTTTTCTTATTACTCGGAAGCCATTTGATCACTTTACCATAGTACTGCTCAACTACCAGGTCATATCTAACAGTCAGGTTTTTAACTGCAGTTTACGTACAAATAGGCAAAAAAAAATACTGACCAATGCATTTAAACTGACATTAGAAGTTCTTCGAGTTACAGGTATTTCTCAGTTGATACTTTAGGAGTTAACTCTGAACTAGGAAGACATGATTAGGACTGTTATAGGGCTTTCTACATTGGATAATTTAAGACCCACTATTCATGGAGGCCAAACTCTGTTCCATCTGGAGGTTAAGAATACGCCTACTTCCACTGGTACACTTCACATCCAGGCACCATTATTTTAAAATATTTCAGCTGAGTCATTCCAAAGCTGCAAAGGAATCTTTGAAAGAGGTGCCATATCTATCTGTGCACTCCACCTACAGGCTGTGTGGTTTGAGGATTTGCTAGGTAAACTCAAAAGTCCCCTTTTCAGGTTCCACACTTTGATACTGTAGGGTTTTAAGTTAAATTATAGAGTATTTGGTCTTTATTCAAGTTTTGTGTCAAGCTCCAAGCTACGCTGTAGCTGCCACTTTTCCTGCATTAAGTTGTCTACAGCCACCAATATTTTTATTTTCCTTTAAGAACTGTTTTGTAACTTTGGTTCAGAAGAAGCTTTAAGTTTCCAATATATGGCTTATTGCAGGGAATAGAATGCCTTAAAAATGGTCAAGATTGAAGCTTGAGTCACCAATATGTAAGTTTGATTGACTGTCCTGGTATCTTAACGTTTACATATTTCAATAATTACAGCTAGTGATGGTTGTCTATTTACAGAGCATCAGAATTCAGCATAGTGCTTTATACTTTGAAACTTGTTCTGATTCCAAAGACTATATGCTGTCTAATAGACCACAGGTCTTCCCAATTGTGTAATTAACTTAAAATTTCCTTGATGACTTCTCTCCACAAATGGAGACACTCTAAGGCTAGGATTACCATGCTTAATGAAATAGTTAACTTTTTAAATGAACAAGATAAGCTTTTCCAAAGAATAATCTGTTTAAGGCCACTGACCTCAGTCTTCTTTAAAATGAAAAAATGTGAAATAAACCAAGATTTAAAATATAAAATATAAAATAAAACAATGCTAATTTAAGTAGCTACTACAAACATAACAGCATGAAAATCAATGTACAGGTATTCCTTGAGTTGCCCTTTATATTCCTTAAAGACTAGCCTTAAAGACTGTGTGCTAATCCATGCCTCCTCCTCATTCCACTATTGAGAGCTAGAAAGGGCACAATCCAAGCACAGCTGATACTTTGATTTGTGAATTGTTTTAAATCACCTCTCAGAATCTTGCTTACATAATGTATATAATATACAGTATATACTGTGTTTGCATAATTACATCCATATAGTAAAGCTTGGAGATTTAAAGAACTGTATAAAATCAGAAGAGCAATGCTTAACACATGGTAGATATTTTATAGAAATAGGTTTATAAATTATGACTATGTTTCTATGATAAACCGCAAATGCCAGCTTAAAAGTAATACCATTAAGAGACCACAAACATTTAAAATGTGTGTATATATATATATAAATAACATATATACTGTATAATACCCATACATAAATATAGGTGCAATTAAATTTTATGTGAATCTTTGTGTCATAGTTCTCAGTCCTACCCTCTTTTGGCTGCTTTAGTACTAATTTTCGGACTCCTTAATGGTTTGTTCATTTTGTTTTGGGATCACTTTTCTCTTTGACCATTAGTTTCCTAACCTACTTTGTTGATTCTTCATCTTCTTGACCCCTAAACTTTGTGGAACCCCAAGGCCCATTCCCTAGGAATGCCATTCGCTTCTATGGCTTAACATATCATTGTCAAATTTGTATAGACCTACTCAGTATTTCCACTTAACCATCTAGTAGACAGCTAAACATGTAAAATTCAGATTCTTCCTCTTACTTCCTTGCCACAAACAAGTGATTCTTGCTGTTTCCATCGCCAAAGATCATCCAGAAGGCACCCGCTTCCCATCCCCATGGCCACACATGACCTAAGCCATTATATTTTTTGCCTCATTTATTAAAACATCCTGTTCGTTTGCCCACATACGTAACAGTTGACATGATCTTTTAAAATGCAAGTTACTCACTGCTCCTCTGCTCAAAACCCTTAAAGGATAGGAATGTAGCTCAGTGGTGGAACACTTGCCTTTCATGCCTAAAGCAATTTAGGTTTGATACCCAGCACTGCATAAAACCAAATTTTATTGGCTTCTCATGTGGCTCAGTGTAAAAGCCAAGGTCCTTACAAACTCGCATGACCTGGCCATGCTTCGAATGCCCTATCTTACAGTTGGTTACTTTCTCCCTTGCCCATTCTGCTCCAGTTCTAGCCTCCTTGCTTGTTTCCTCAGACATGCCAAGAATGTTACTATCTCTGTGACATTGTATTTTCTATTTTCTTTGACTAGACTTATTGCCTGCTTCCTACTTCCATCAACAAATAGGTGATCTTGTTAGATGTCAGATGCAGAATCCTGCATCTAGAATGTGCTAAAAGCTAGAAATGTAAGTGGTCCAAGAGATAATAGGCCCTCTACGGACTTTTAGAGAATGTATAAACTTCAAGGAGTTGTCAATTTAATAAATTGTAGCTTATAAAATGATTTGACTAAGCAATACCTATATAATATGAATTTAAGTAACAAAAATACTAGTTACATTAAAATAGCACTAACTAGATTATACATGAGTGAAACTACCTGCCTTTGGGAGGTAGGAGTAGAGACTTCAGAGTATCTCAGTGCAAGGATTCCAAGTGGCAAACCACATATGCTAAGAGGCTGAAGAGTCTCAGAGATTATTTGTATTTGTAGAGTTGTCTTCCTTGTTTTAAGACAGCTCTTTCAAAGATTAGTGGTTTTACCTATCTCTGCGTTCTCCACAGAATACACTGTTAAATATGCACAAGAAATCTGCTAGATTTAATTACACTTAACACTTGAGTGTATCTTGTCCTTGTGCCCATCTCCACTGTATATATTTTGTATATGTCTCAAGAAGTGTAGAGGCTTCTTGGTTTCTTCTTCCAGATTAAAAAATGTATGTCAGGAAGGAGTACCACAAGGGGGAAACAAACCCCACTGTGTCCGTTAACCGCAGATGGTATAGTTAGTAAAATATATCATTAGTAGCTATTTGTTAACAGTAATATGCGGCTTCACTTTATGGTATCATCAATGAGGAGTGATGATAATGTAACAACTTTTTTAGTTGAAGAGCTGAAGTCTCTTTCTTCTGAGCTAGTTTGCTAGTGATTTTTCCACTTTGGACTCCATTGACTTGGATTTCACAGCTCAACTCTTCCCAAGTGGGTTGAGGTTTGTTGTAACAGATGACATACAAACGGGCAAAAAGACTGCATAATCAAATAAATAGAAGGAGTGCTGGATTAATGTTCCTGGTATTCTTTAGTGGTGTTAAGTGTTCTGAAACACTTATAAATCCTCAAGACAAAGTTGATAGTGTTTCCTAAGATTTTGGTTATGTTTTATTTGTCAAGGGCACTATACAGTGACAAGTGTATGACAAAAGAGCATTTTGAGGAATTTTGGTATGCAGTGAACTCTGGTAAGAATTTTATAAGGAGCATTTCATTGTTTTTTTTTTCCTCTGAAAGGCCATTTAGCAGCCAGTAAATGGTTGAGTGGACATTAAAAGGGACTACATCGTCTGGTAATGCAATTACTGATATGAAATATGTTTTGCTTTTTAACCCTAGACTTGGAATGGAAAATTATCTATGTGGGCTCTGCAGAAAGTGAAGAATACGATCAAGTTTTAGACTCGGTTTTAGTGGGCCCGGTTCCTGCAGGAAGACATATGTTTGTCTTTCAGGTAAGATCAATTTTGGTAACTGTATGTCAAAAGTATTTGTAAAGTAGACTATATTATTCCGTGGTTCTTAGCCCTTTTGTGTTAAATCACTCTGCTTCAAGGACTTTCATTTTTAATCTGTTTCCATCATGTTTCAGGTCTGTCATAAAGGGACTGTACTTCTTGGTTTTCTATGCTGATTAGTGATAGTGTGGGGTTTACTTTAGAGAAATGTACAACATACAATGAAACATTAAACTATAGCATGGTATACATGGTGATTAATTTTTGGCTTTTCTGCAGAACAGATTTTCAAAATGTGTATCCATTAGCTTAAAACATGGGTTCATCTGATAAGTCATTTAGTAATATGTATTAGTAGTAATCGCAACTGCACTAGATAGAAATACACATTTTTCAGTTTATAATTTCAGCTAGTAGGAGTGGTGGTATAACAATAGCAACAACTTCATTCAGTACAGTCAGTACTCTGAGCTAGATTTACAGCCATATTAGTAGATACAGCTGTGTGACCCTGGATCTGACTTAAATTTTAAGTCTAAATACTGTACAGAGAACTGATATAAATTAATTAGTCCATTAGTTATATGTGAGGGAAATTCTATTAATATAAATTATATCCTCAGATACCACTTATAATATTTGGGTATGTGTCAAGGCAATCTCCTAGAGCCCGGCGCCTGTGGCTTACACCTGTAATCCTAGCTACTCAGGAGGCTGAGATCTAAGGATCGTGGTTCAAAGCCAGCCTAAGCAGGAAAAACCGTGAGACTCTTATCTCTAATAAACCACTAGAAAACCGGAACTGGCGCTGTGGCTTAGGCGGTGGAGCGCTCGCCTAGAGCTGAAGAGCGCAGGGACAGCGCCCAAGCCCAGAGTTCAAGCACCATGACCCACAAAAAGAAAAAATCCTAATACATGTTAAATTGATGTGTAAAGCAACTTGGTATTCAATTATCTATGCTTTTTAGAGGGAAATATAATATTGTAAAAGGTAACTACAGTTTAAAAAAAAAACAGGTTTTGATGCAAGTATTCCTACCCAAAAAAGTCACAGTGAAAAAGCTTAATCTAGAAAGAAAATCTCATTTTTAATCTCTATTTTCTCACTTCAGAATCAATTTTAAATGAATAGTCTTTAAAATAATCCTGTCAGAAATGGGTGAAGACTTATTGAAGTTCATGTCACCTCTAAAAAATGTTACTCTGAGCCTGGCGTTGGTGGCCTGTAATCCTAGCTACTCAGAAGGCTAAGATCTGAAGATCGTGGTTCAAAACCAGCCCAGGCAGAAAAGTCTGTGAGACTCTTATCTCCTATTAACCACAAGAAAACCAGAAGTGGCACTGTGCTCAAGTGGTAGAGCACCTGCCTTGAGCTAAAGAGCTCAGGGACAGCACCCAGGCCCAGGGTTCAAGCTCCAAGACCAACAGCAACCAAAAAAAAGTTACTTTTCCCTTCCCTTTCTTGAATATCATTCAGAATTTTGGTCTCCTAGCTTTAAGTTCTTTATTAAAAAAGAAGTAATTTAGTATATCTAAACAATTGGTGAAGAAAAACTACTTAAAAGGCTCTCTCACGTATTAACTAAAAGTCATGTTAACTTTAGTTGTGTGAGCACACAGCCTTGTGAAAGACACAAGTAACACAGTGTCCTGTCCTATAGAGGAAGCACTGCAGTCAGAGGCCCTGGTCAGACAGATACCTGTTTTTATTAGCCATGGGTGATTTTAAACAAGCTCTTTACTCTCTTTTAGTCATCCAGTCACCTACAAAATGAAAGTAGTATCCTACTACTTCACAGAAATGCTATATGGAATAAAGCAGTTGACCCATCAATGGCAAATCTAATTATGTCTGTAGACTTGTAGTTAGAACTAAATATTTTAGCTTATTAAATTTGTAATGTAAAAAGGCTGGGTTTGCTCTGACCCACAAGCCTGGAGAACCCATACAGCACTGAGGATAATTCATGACATAATTCAAGAAACTTGGGCTGACATGCAGTGGGAGGTCTTTTAGGTACCATAAAAACTTACAAATAAATGCTTTGGTTTTGAAGTAAGCTCTTAGGAATCTTCTGTGCTTATGTTAGAAAACTGCTCGAAGCTTTTTGCTTGTTTTCTTGTAGGCTCATTCTCATTGAAAAAAATATTTTTGCCAGTCCCTGGGGCTTGAATTCAGGGCCTGGAAACTATTCCTGAGCTGCTTTTGCTCAAGGCTGGTGCTCTACCACTTGACCCACACCGAAAAAATATTTCTTTATAGTGATAGATGATATAGTGATGTGTGTGTGTGTGTGTATATATATATATATATATATATATATATATATATGTATGTATATATATATATATATATAGTGATATATAAAGTGATAGTGCGCATGGTGTAGGGAAAAGAAGGAAAAATGTAATTTAAGTGTTTAGCCTTTCATGTTTTATAATTGAGTATGATCAGGAAGAGGTTCAAGTACCTTTTCACTTCCAACTACAACTTTTCCTCCTCAAGTTTCCTCAAGCTGACACCTTTGACAAACAGATTTTCAAACACAAACATACCTAGAACCAATTTCCTAGTTGGTGGGAAGCAATATTAGGGGAAAGAGTTCTAAGTCTTACTGTACTGTTACCCATCTCCTTCCACTGCTAAGTCCTTTTAGAACCCCTTTTGGAACTCTGGGAGAAACCTAACCTCTGGAAAGAGGATGCATAGGAAATCTAAGATAAACAGCATAGTTTCCAGGAAAGGCTTAGCGTCTACATCCTAGTGCCCTGCCAGAGCAATGAAAAAATCCCTTCAGGACAGGAACTGAATAATAAGCTAATTTCAAAACACTAAATGCTCATAGCTACATAAAACATAAGGTGAGCTGAACTGGGCTCCTGCCCAGGATGAATGCTAAAAATCTAATAAGGAACACTGAAGAATAAACATGTAGATTGCTGGATATGCATTAATAGAAGATTTGTGTCAAGTAATACAAACATATAGGAAAATGTTGGTTCTACCTTTCACTTGGGGCTTCACTGACAAGGACACATTTGATGCAAACTCTAAAAGATGAATTTTTTGTGTAATCTTAAGTATTTTTGTTTCTAAAATATAACTGGTAATCCCAAAGCCATTGTGCCGAGTTCTTAATCCCTGCCTATGCGTTTTTAAGGTACTGCTTTTCTAAATATTCTATGCCATCCTTCTTATGTATCCATTTTACTTTCTTGGCTGCTAAATTTTGCATGCTTGTCTACTTCTCTTCTGTCAGGCCATTCTAAGCAGTAATTTTTCTTTTTTTAAAATGATACAAAATATTGAGTTTTATTATAACACTTCAATGCATGTAGATAAAATACTTTGATACTATTTGCTCTCTCCTTATCCTTAGGGGGGAAAAATGAACTCTTACAATGTGAGGAAAGGACCTTTTAGGCTAAAAGGTCATTGTAATAAACACAAAGGTAATAAACACAAAGGTATAAAAGATTGTCAGCATGTTATGAACTCATCAGAACACTGTGTAACTCATATCCCGAGAACAATGAGGTATACAGTTTTAGGAGAAGTGAACAGAAAAGTTGGTTGAAAACAAATGGTGGAGGATTTTACAGATGAAATAACTGAGATTTTGTTGTTGTTTTTTTGGTCAGTTGTGGGCTTGAACTCTGGGCCTGGGTGCTGTCCCTCAGCTCTTCAGCTCAAGGCTAGTTAGTGCTCTACCACTTGAGCTACAGTGCTACTTCCGGTTTTCTGGTGATTTATTGGAAATAGGAGTCTCACGGTCTTTCCTGCCCGGGCTGGCTTTGAACCACAATCCTCAGATTTTCAGCCTCCTGTGTAGCTAGGATTATAGGTATGAGATTTTTATACCTTCACAATGGGAATAAATGAGCCTTTAACACCAGGTAATGAGATAGGAAAAGTTGAAATTGAAGGTGACTAAACTTTTAGCCTAGCTGACTAGCTATGCCACTAGTGTTATCTGTACTACAATAAACATTAGTCTTTGAGCCAAGCTAAGACATTGGTTGAAGTGTTCACTAAGGGGCAGGATGTTCTTCGTTGTCCTGTTAACAACAGTAAGGCTTCATAACTACTTAGAATTTCTGCTCAGATGCCTTGGCCATCACTGCCTGTGCCTTTTTAGTCTATGGTTCCCTTTTTAGTCTATGGTTCCTTTCACCCAGGCAGTCTGTTTTTCTGTGTACCACCATGGGCATAAGCTCGAGCCTCTCTGTACTCTTGGCTTCCTCTGACTCTTGCTTCACACTCTGCATTCTTCGAAATTTGAACACAATTCAAAACAACATCTTCTATGATCTCTACCTAAAAAAACCCTTGCCTTCATTTAACTTCCACTAATATAGTGTGAGTCAAACAGTGTATTTTAATGCCTAGCAAAGTGACTGATTACAAAAGTATTATGTTTCCAAAATCTTCTGCTCAATACCTCTTTCCATTCTAGTGTAAGGTGTGTTTGGGTCCACTCTATCACTGAGCTCCCAATCCCCACTGTCGGCTTTATATTAATTTACTATTAGAATATCTTTGGGGACTGGTTAAGTATATATGTTGTGGGTAGAAGATTAAAATTGGTAAAATAAATATTTGTTGCTGGGGCTAGCGGAGATGGTTTATGCCTATAATTCTAGCTACTTGGGACATGGAGGTCTAGCTCAGGCAAAAAAGTTAATGAAATTCCATATTAAAAAAAATAATAAAAAGCTGCAGCTGGCAGTGTGGCTTAGTGGTAGAATGCTTGCCTAGCACGCATGAAACCCTTCAATTCCTTAGTACTACATAAGCAGAAAAAGCCGGAAGTGGTGCTGTGGCTCAAGTGGCAGAGTGCTCGCCTTGGGCAAAAGAAGCTCAGGAACAGTGCCCAGGTCCTGAATTCAACCACCAGGACTGGCAAAAAAAAAAAAAGGCTAGGTGAAGGGCAACACCAATTATTCTATCTATGTGGGACACATAAGAAGGAAGATTGTCACGTTGGGTAAAAAAATTGAGAAAATACCTGAAAAAGTTTAAAAAGAGCTGAGGGTGTGGCTCAAGTAGTAGAGCAAGTTCAAGACCCTGAGTCAAGCCCCAATACTACCTAAAAAAAAAAAAAAAATTAGCCAGGCGCCAGTGGCTCATGCTTGTAATCCTGGCTACTCAGGAGGCTGAGATTTGAGGATCGGGGTTCAAAGCCAGCCCGGACAGGAAAGTCCGTGAGACTCTTATCTCCAATAAACCACTAGAAAACCGGAAGTGGCGCTGTGGCTCAAGTGGTAGAGTGCTAGCCTTGAGCATAAGAGCTGAAGGACAGCGCCCAGGCCCAGAGTTCAAGCCCCACGACCGACCCCCCCCAAAAAAAATTAAGTTAATAGGCTGTGTGGAAATAATTTAGTATTTTATACCAATTTAGGTCTGAAAATGATTGAATGGAAAAATTAGAATATGACTTATTTTATAAAATGCTTTGTACATTCCAGTTTTGTGAACTGCCATATACCATGAGAGAGTATTTCCCTCTGCAAGTGAAGTGATTGCAAATACCTAAGTTACTTAGGACTAATGTAGAGAAATGTGCAGTATTTTCTAGTTACCAGCTAACCTCTAAGCATTTGCCTTCCCAATGTGATTTCCAAGTTTTTTTGCTGTACTTTCAACTGACATGTAGGATAACGGAAACTCCCAACTGTTAACTGCCATTAACAGCTTTTTTTTGCATTTGTTTTCTTTTTAAATTATTTTAGGCTGATGCACCTAATCCGGGACTGATTCCAGATGCAGATGCAGTAGGTGTAACTGTTGTGCTAATTACTTGCACCTATCGAGGTCAAGAATTTATTAGAGTTGGCTACTATGTAAATAATGAATATACTGAGACAGAATTAAGGGAAAATCCACCAGTAAAGCCAGATTTTTCTAAGGTAATGTTCTTACTATTCCTCCTGAATTACTTGTACTATATATTGTTTCAAGCTTTGAGACAAAATAAATTTGAAGTCCTTGTGCCATCTGGGCAGAGTAGTTATTCTTTGATTACTATGGACGGCCTTAAATGCTACTTCCACAGGAGTCATAAGATACCTTGAGTGTCTAATAGTACAGGGATGGAGAACCTTTTTACTGCCGTTTGGGATATTAGTAACATAGGCAGCTAACAAAAAACCATGTTTGTCCTATCAGGTACCAAATGATTTCAAGGGTCTTAATACATTCCAGATATTCCCCACCCCTAGAAAAATGAAAGTTCATGTAAAAAATCAGGCTTTGTTTATGGTTCTCTGTGAGGCATACATCACAGTATTTCATCAAAACCTTTAGGATATGGAAATTTTTATCTACTGTAAAGATTAAGACAAAAATATTATTTTTTCCAATATTTCTCACCAAAATTGTAGGAAGTAGTTTTGCATTTCATATGAAGTTATCTCTGAATATCTAATATGCTTCTTTCTATTTAGAGGATAAACTAAAGGTCTTAAAATTTTCTGATGAAGAACAGGTTAAATTCTGAGAAGCTAAAATCAAAGATAGAATTGAGATCCTATTATTTTATCATTTTCCACTGGGATCCACTAACCATTCGGTAAAGGTGATTTTGTGTGTGCTGAATAAATGAAGTTCTGAACATGATACTCTGTCATACCATGCAAGAACAGTTATGTGGAAGTTGATTCAATTGTTCTCCCTCCCCATATTAAGGCTGTAATGTCTTCATATTTGTGGGTCCTTCCATTAATCCAGTGTATCAGCTACATGTATGCTACTCTGTATAGCAGAAATATGAGGACACTAGAACACTGTTTCTAAGACTAAGCCATACTATTTTAAGTTACAAAGCCACTAATAATTGAGGGAAGTTGTTCATTTTCCTTGAAAGCACATCAATCTAAATAGCGTATTTGTTTAAAGCATCCCCTGAAGCATTTATCTAAAAAAGAAAAAGGCTTTTTCCTCTCCATTTTAAGAAGCACAAATAGGGAAGTTAGATATTTAGTGGATATTGAAAGATCTGTGAATTGCTTCAGATATAACTTACCTTGTTTTATCTCTACAATGCTAAAGTAATTTATTTGCAAAGGCTTTAGTTCTTGCTTATTAGTCATGTTTAAAGTGCTCTATATGAATAAACCACTTAGTATGACTTAACTATTTTGTTAAATTTCTATTTGCATATGATGATCTAATTTTCCATTTATATCATCCCTTCCTCTAGCTTCAAAGGAACATTTTGGCATCTAATCCCAGGGTCACGAGATTTCATATCAATTGGGAAGATAACACAGAAAAACTGGAAGATGCAGAGAGCAGTAATCCAAATCTACAGTCACTTCTTTCAACAGATGCGCTACCCTCAGCCTCTAAGGGATGGTCCACATCAGAAAACTCATTAAATGTCATGTTAGAATCCCACATGGACTGCATGTGACCCCACCTGCCATCCCTTTAGTACAAATTAAGCTATTAAAAACACAGAACTATTTCCCTGAAATTCCGTAAGTACATAGTCAAGACACAATGTGAAGAATTTGTTTTAAAACATCCTGTAGAAAGTTCATATGAAAACCAGTTTATAAGAAAACCAGTATTTGAACAAATTGTGGAATATAAATACAACTATTTTTAAGTAAGTTTTTCTCTAATGTGTTATTTTATTTGTTCTGAAAGAATCTGATTAAAGCATATATATTATTTTCTTTTCCTTTATATGTAACTAAAGCTCTTATAAACAGAGAAATATCAATAGACCAGATTATACAGATGTCTTAGCCTCTTTGACAATAATCTTTGGACCACTATTTTACTTGCCTTTTGAAGAACAAATGTTTTGAAGACATGCAATGTGGTTTTAAGGGGGAAAATTCCGTTCTTTTATGAAAGAAATAGGTATTTGAAATCAACTATATATAGTACAAAAATTAAGGATTGTTTTTTCTAGGCCACTCTACAGCATTCTGTGGCTATAGTAATTGTTCATATAACACTGGACAGAATTTGGTATGGTTTCTAATAACAAATGTAGCTAATTGTTTATAAGGTCCTCTGGCTGTTTTTGTTTTTATAACAGTTTAGGACATCAGAGCACATGAACTACAAATTATTATTGTACAATAATTTCAACAGTTAAGAGCAAATACAAACTTCCCTAAATTTAAGAATAAGTGATTATAATGGCTCTGATCTGTTCTTTGAGTTTGTACAAACATTATGAACTTCAAAAACTGTTTTGGTAGATCATGTGTTGTTGGCATTATTTATTAAAAACAGTGGCTTTAGAAAAGCATAGTTAGCTTTAATCATAATACATTACTGTTTTGTAATACATTACTATTTTGGAAATAGTTGTGTTTTTTTTTCACACCTGTAGTATTCTTCTCCACACCCTCTGACACTCATGAAGAATACCATCAAGCATATATGTAATTGACATATTCTAGGTAGTTTTTCCAGATTTTTGAAAAGCAGTCTTGGGAAGGAATTCACTAATTAAATGGGCCAAAAGGTTATTTTTCTTTGATGAGAGCTAGGTACTTCCTCAAACAGTTCTTAAGCTCTGTTAAATTAAGGGTCGCATATTTTCATTTGGCTCTTGCTACTAAGCAGGATAGCCTATGATGCAGATTTTGCAGTGCCTTCATATCTAAAATTTTTATACTGCACTTTTAAAGCATTTATTTTGAGGAAATAAAAGGGCATTTGTCTTACCACATACTTGAGGTGTATATATTTTCTGTCATTCTAAAACAAATTTGTGAAGCAAAGTTTTGCTGAATGGTAAACTTAGAAATTTAATACTCCAGATTATCAGAATATTGTCAGTTAACTAGTTCAGATTTTAAAAATAAAATACTTCAGACTGTTAAAACTATATGTAGAAAAATCTTGTCTAATTGCAATTAAAAGGAACTGTTAAAATAATAAAATGGAAATAAAAGTAATACTTTCCAATGAAGAGCTCAGTGATTAATATTGAAGGAACAAGATATATATGCTTACTAGGAAACTAAATCACCAAATAAAGCAATTCACTGCTGAGTTTTAAATTATAAATAAAGGATAACTTTGTAGTGATATCAAATTATTAGGTTTTTATATCAATTTGTAAAAATGAATTTGGGACATAAACATACCTTTATTAAACTTTATGTTCTGTAAGGTAATTTTAAAATTAAAAATCAGTGAAAACAGATTAAGAACAAAAATTAATAACCCCACATATAGGAATTTTTTTTCACCATTTAGCCTCATTTATATACTATATCTGAATTATAGCTGCAAGGCTTAGAACTGTTTTTTCTTCTTTTGATCATATTAACTAGCTGTGTTTAGAGAATACAAACATGAACAGAAGAGATAGGTAAATAGGTTGGGAATGAGGGTACCATTTAAATTCCAAAACATTTCCAGAAATCTAAAGAAGCATGCACACTTACACTCATTTAGAACCTTAGGTTTCTATGTTGCTTCATCGTACTACAGTTTTAGGATTTGTAGTTACTACCTTTACCAAGAAAATGTAGCAGCAATTTTCAAAGCTTTAAAAATCTTTGGTATAAGTTAAGGCATCATCCTACAATACAAGTATATACTTACATTTTAAAATACATGAGTACCCCGCTGTATGCAGTTTGCCTCTCTAGGGTTTGCAATGAGAGTTTAAAGAAAGGTCAGTCTGATCTTTTGTGTTGGGAAGTAGCAGCAACAAATTCTCTACAATTGTAAAATTTGTATTTCCTAGTCTTTCCTTTCATATTTGGATTATAAGATGGACACTAAAAAAGGCAAAATGCTTTTCTTTGTTTTTGTTGGCCGTGGGGCTTGAACTCTAGGCCTGAGTGCTGTGCTGTCCCTCAGCTCTTCAGCTCAAGGCTAGCGCTTTACCACTTGAGCAATAGCACCACTTCTGTTTTTTGGTGGTTTATTGGAGATAGGAGTCTCACCATCTTTCCTGCCCGGGCTGGCTTTGAACTGCGATCCTCAGATCTCAGCCTACTGAATAGCTAGGATTACAGGCCTACTGAGTGGCTAGGATTACAGGCGTGAGCCAGCGGCAACCGGCTGCAAAATGCTCTTAATACCCTTTTTACAACTTCATCATTAATACCAATATTAACATAATCTTTTTGTGTCTGGATTATGATGTTGGCATTAAAGAGGGAAAAGTTAAAAACACTAACACTAATCAATTTATACTGAGCCAGCACCCAGTTCTTTATAAAACTTCTCAAATAGTCAGAAATTATTAGTAGCCTATAAGATGGCTTAGACTTTTTCTTGGCATTCTTTGTAATTAGGAAACTTTCCATGTAATTATTTGGGAAACAATATTTGTTGCTGTATCATTTTACACAAATTCTAGAGCAATGGGATATTGGGATTGTAAAATGCACTTGGTTCTTTATATTTATATTGTTATTATTTCCAGTATCCCTAAGTTTACCCATTCAATTCACAAATTCCTTTTTGTCAACATTTATTAATTTACTTTTTAGCTATATTTTGAAGTCTGAGTTCTTTTTAACTTACAAAGGACTATTAATGGGACATTTTCTGTTGAATGATAGATTTTAAGGTACAAGCTTCTCATAAGAAATTTGAGTGTAGGCCAAAGAAGTGAGGCTCTCTTACTAAGCAGCAATTAACTTGTAAAAGGTGTGAGACCAAAGATCTTATCTGTTTAACTATCTGTTTAACTGTTTAACAATACAAAACAATGAAAACATTTTCCCTAAGTCACCTTATAATCAAATCTTCTTTTTTCATACTGGGGTTTGAACTCAGGGTCTCCCTCATACTTACTGGGCAAGTACTCTATACCACTTGAGCCACAGCTTTGTAATCAAACCTTGATATTCTGTCTGCCTTAAGCAACAACCCCAGTTTTTTTTTGGGGGGGGGCGGTCATGGGGCCTGAACTCTGGGCCTGGGCGCTGTCCCTTAGCTCTTCAGCTTAAGGCCAGCACTCTACCACTTGAGCTACAGCACCACTTCTGGCTTTTTTCTTTTTGCTTATGTGGTGCTGAGGAATCGAACCCAGGGCCTCATGCATGCAAGACAAGTGCTCTTACCACTGAGCCAACTTCCCAGCCCACAACCCCAGTTCTATAATCAAACCTTGACATTCAATCTGCCACTTGAGCCAGGCCCATAATCAAACCTAGACATTCTGCCACATGAGCCACACCCCAGATTCTAGTCAATGGTGATGTTCTGTCTGTCACTTGAGCCATGCAGTTCTATAATCAAACCTTTACGTTCTGTTCACAAAAGTTTTTAAATGTGCTTATGGAAAAATCTTCACGTATGAATAAAGCTCCTCGTATATGTGAAAAGTATGCTTTCTAAATACAGATAAATCTCAAGTCTATGAATATCAGTAGGGGCTACCATTGTCCATGAGATTTAGGGTCATGAAAATGCCTTACATCCCATGCCATCTATTTACTTTTGTAAAGTGAACTTTTCCCTATTTATTTTGATGTTTTGTCTGCTTAGGTCTTCATAAAATGCCAGATAAGTAAGGTGTACATTTTACTGCGTAAGTACATAAAGGTAATAATCACTAGACTGACAAAAATCCTAGCACTGTTCAAAATTAAGGTGCATAAGGAAGTTGAAGATGGCGCTTTTAAAATATTTTTTTTAGAGCTTCAAAAGTAATGTATATTTCCTTTAATATTTGGCAGTAACTTAAAAACTTAGCAAGGCATTTATCCTTTCATAGGTGCTTTTTCATAAGGAAAAAAACATTTTATTAGCTCCTATAGTAATGTTAGATTACTTGAAATCATCATGTAAAATACCTGCACTAGTAGATCCAATTCCTGTGGTCAGCACAGATCTTGGTGTAATCTTTGCCGCATATTTGAGGAATTGAGATTTCCCTGTACCAGGATCCCCAACCAGTAAAAGATGAGATTCACCTAGAAAAATAAAATATGTAAAGTTTTAAATTTCTATGAGAAGATCCATGAATAATTATAAGTATAGTAAATCTAAAAGAAAATAGTTCATATGGAATGCCAACAAATTTTCTATACTATTTTGATGTATATTTTTATGTAAGGACATTCAAGAAAGGATTTAACTAGGGAATCTTTAGAAAAGTTAACTGTCAAAGCAACTTTTAGTTGATTACTGAATTATGACATTTCAAATATATATCATATTAATAGATTGTATGCTATTTCCAGATGTTTTAAGCCCTGTTTAACATTTTAAAAGTTCTTGGCATATAAGGTTTCTGATTTGATTTTTATCTATTTTTTAAATACCAAACTACTGTGATTAAAGCTTTCCATACAAGTCATATTAAGGTTTTATTCTATTTGTATTTAGGTATTTGTAAGTGCTGGAGACTTTATAAATGCTTTATACTTACTAGATCATTTAAGAACAATTAAAAGATTTTCATTTTATGAAAATTTTGGTAGCTTAAAATATCGTAGAATTATTTAAGTACTCATTTTTTCAAATATAACATGAATGGAATATAACAATTCTATGATACATATCATTTCACTGACCAAAAAGTATTCCTCAAGTATTTTCTAAGTATATCAATTGGAAATCCATATTTAAGTTCAACATTTAGTGAAGTACCTTCCAAATAATAGGTGAGCAAAAAACATTCATATACCTTATAATTAGTATTTTGTACTACTATGGAAGGTTTTAGAGTATCTGTTAAG